TAATAAAACGAAATAAGTCTGTTCTTCGAGCTACTTGAGCAGCTGATGGAAAAACATAGATTTGTTCCAGAAAACATTTATAATAGCGAAGAAACTGGTATTTCAGCAGTTCAAACTCTTGGAAAAATTCTGGATACCAAAGGACAGAAGAGAGTGAGATCGATAACCAGTTGGGAAAAAGGAAAAAACATCACTTTGTTGTGTGCTATGAGCGCTGCTGGCGGTTACATTCCACCGGTGTTCATTTTCCCCAAGAAAAGGTTGACTCCTCTGCTCGAGAAGGATGGTCCAGCAGGAGCGCTTTACAAATGCTCGGACAACGGTTGGATTAATGAGAATCTCTTTCTCGAATGGTTGGTGCACTTTAAACAGCACTACAAATATTGCAAGTCCAATCATATTTATATGTCTCTGCCACCACACGCGTCACACAAAATGCAACCCCTGGACGTTTCTTTTTTTGGTCCGCTCAAAATGGCATATAAAAAAGAATGTGACTTATTTTTGAAGAGCAATCTTGCAGAAAAGATAACACCTTATGACGTAGCATCGTTGGTGAGAAAAGCATTTAATAATATTGCGTCTATTAATAAAGGAGAATCGGGTTTTAGAGCTACTGGAATATTTCCACTAAATCCGGAAGTATTCACAGAAGAAGATTTCTTCGCTGCAGAAACTCTCCAATTAGAAGTAGATAGCCATAACCTTTCTTTCCCAAAAATTCATCTCTCCTCAAAATATACCCCTTTCAATATGAAATTATATTCTTCTGGAATTCAAAGGTAGATGAAGAAATTTGGGAGTCTTTTTTTCTACTGTTCTCACTTTTTGAGAGAGTTAGTATCAGCCGTTTAGCCAGTAAAATAATATTTACAAGATATAGGCACTTAATTTCAAATCACCACATGGTGAAATAAAAGAAGAAAATTAAAAAAAATATTATCTATCTCCAATCCACTTGAACTTTCCAAAGTCTGTTCACATTGAAAAGTTTTTAATTGAGCTCTTCAATTTTCAGGCTTCGAAGAATACAACAATCACTACATTGAAAGACCCCGAAGACCCCGAGAGAAGAGAACAATTTGTGAACCAAAAGTTTGTAATGATGCCAACTGCGAATGCATTGGATCCGCTTGCGTTTGCCGTGATCGTTAATTTACCCACTCTTATGATATGATGAATCAAACAAACAAAAGTCTTACTGATTATTATTGGACTTTCACTCAATTATTTCATATGTTGTAGCAATGAACGAGAAATGTTAGAAGGCAATTTATATTATAATAAAGTTGTGAAATTATATTTTTGAGCATTGCAACTTTTTCCTGTCAAGCTAAAGAAATAATAATAATAATATCGTTTATTATGGATGAAAATACATTTATACATAAAAGGAAAAGGGTTAGCTAAAGGCTATCTTCCACCCCTCCCAAAAATTATACAGTGAATATAAGAAAATAATTGTAAACATACTTATTTACTATCATAACAATGACAGAGAAGAGAAAAAAATAATACATCATATAGTTGCTAATAACTCTTAATATTCTTAACATTATTTTGGTCAATTTAACAACTTTATTGCACTACCATTCATTGAATTTTAATTTTTTTTAAATTAGCACCGAGCAGTAAGCATCTGTGATTTTATTTCTCTCTTAAATTGATGAATATTATTATTTGAAAGGGGTAAAATTTAATTCAGATAAGAAGGGGCTATATAAGAAAAACATCCTTTAACTCCGAGATTTATTTGTGGAATCAAAACAACACGTTGATGGACTGAAGAGTGGATAAGAATTCCCCTCAGAGATACGGTTGATATATAAGTCAGTAACTGCTCTCAAGAATTCATAAAATAAATCGAAGTTGAGATAATAACTGAAAAAAACAAGACTAAAGATGAAACTCTCTCTTTTATTTGTTTTCGTGTTTCTGGTGGCTTGCTTTGTTGGTATTGATGGATTTTCACTCCCAGAAAAAGAAACAAGTGAGTAAATATTATAACTATCGTATAATATGGTTCAAAAAGTAAATTGTGTTTTTTTAATTTTGAATTGATAATAATCGCAGAAAACGTCAGTTTCATTATAAAGGAGGACAATTTGGGGAAATATTTTCAGTATTTCATCCCTCTATGAAGATAGAATGAAAAATATTTCGTTTGTCTATTATTCGCAACGCTGAATTAAATTTTTTTAAATCAACACCCAATAATATTAATATCATAACTGTGATTGAAGTAAGTTGGAGATCAAATACAAGTGCAATACTCAATCACTGATCTAATCAATGCAAAGTATAGTATTTTTATTTAAAAAATGTTGGTAAAATCTTTTGTTGATCTGCATATGAATCCTAACATTTTCATCGCTTTGTTAGATATGTGTTCATACTGTAAATGAAACTTCATCTTGTCATCCATCATAACACCCAGATCTCGTATAGATTGTACACGTTCCAACTTCTTCCCTGCAATACTATAACCAGCTGTAAAGAGGTTTAATGACTTTAAAAAGAAAATACTTTTAGATTTTGCCACATTGACATCCATATAATTCATCTTACACCAATCATAAAAAGATTTAAGGTCCATTAGAATTTTCGCACAATCCTGCAATGAATCTATTGCCATGAACATGTTTAGATCGTCTGCAAACATCGGTATTTCACAGTGAGTAATTTTTTCTATGATATCATTCACAAAGATATTGAAGAGAAAAGGTCTCAAGTGACCCCCTTGAGGTACTCTTGAGATAACAGATATTTCTTGAGAGATAAATCCTTTAATTTTCACAAACTGTGATCTATCACAAAGATAACTTAAGAACCACTCCAGCAAACTCCCAAAAAAGCCAATTGCCTTTAATTTTTCACAAAGAACTTTATTGTTCACGATGTCGAGTGCTTTTGAAAAATCAGTGTAAATTACGTCCACTTGTTTATTTTCCAGAACATTCAAAATATACTGGGTGTACAACAGTAAATTAGTAGATTTACCTTCTCTAAATCCGTGCTGTTCGTCGATAATCACTTGTTTTAAAGGACTCTTTATATTATCACAAACGATATGTTCAAGTAGTTTGCGTATTGTACTTAATATGCTGATCGGTCTAAAATTATTTATGTCAGCTTCGTTACCAGACTTGAAAATTGGCGTTATATAACTTGATTTCCAAATGGAGGGTAATTTTCCTAAACAATATATGTTGAAACAATATAATTGAATTTCTGGTATTTCATTTGCTTTTACTTTTTTTCATTTGTCCAACTTACATATTTCGTTGTATAATGTGAATTCTGATTAATTTCATGTGTACGTAATAGTAGATAATTTTTCTTGCTGTAGGATAACCATTTTATTCAAAATGTATACAACTTTAACGCTAGTTACAGTCACACCGATTTTGGACGGCCAGTATAAAATCAGCCGATATTTTATTGGTAGTGGGTGCTTGCACACTCACCGGATTTTTATCGTTCAAACAATCAGTTGCTTTGTTGTCGTAATTAGCACGCACTACCAGAATGAAGTTAATGCGTAGTAACTACAATTTCACCGAGCATTCGAGACTGGAATGGTCGGTAAAAAACCGGTGAGTATGCAAGAGCGTATTTAGTTATGTACGCCACTACTTCCCAGTACTGCCGGCGATACAGTGGCAGTGGACGGCTGCTCACCGGTATTTTATCGGCGACGATCACCGGTCGACGTGTGTGCCAGGTCCCGCTCCCACATGTGGTTCACTATTGGAATTTGGACGACCGGTACAGAGTCGGCCGTCCAAAATCGGTGTGTGTGCAACTAGCGTAACTGTAGTCATATCAATGCCAGTATGTACAGATTGGCAAAATGGTTTCTATAAGATTTTATTTTTGACACGTTGAATCATGCAGCAAATACTTTTCTCGTATAGGCAAGTATCAACCGTAGTTGAGTGGGATTTGATTGCACAAGTCTAAAATATAACAGTTTCAGATCTTCCCCCAACAGTGTTACAAAGGTTTTCAATAACGAATTGGTTCTAACTTTTTTTGGTCACTATATAGTCATTTCTAATGAGTTTTATAGCAGGACAAATTCCCATATGAGCTTCACTTTTTCAACAACGTAAGAATCGACACTACATTGGGACAAACTGTCCTCCGGAACGGTATTGGTCGCGTTCGGTTTGCTTCGAGGGGGCGTGTCCTGCGACTCCGTCCCCGCCGACCACGCGTACCGTTCGCCGTAACGGCCGGCTGGCCTCCCAGACCTGAGCCCCAGGGATTTTGGGACTCAGTTCCTGTCTGAGTGCGACGGGAGGTTGGTTTGCTTCGGTTCGCTCCTGCGGAATGTAAAACTCCTTTTGGAGGTACTGACCCCGCCATGAGGCCACCCCCAAGCCTCTCTCGGCTTCAGGGTGACTCCCTGGCATTCCTACACCCCCTAGCGCTTCCGCTAGGTCGTCAGTATCCGGCTGGAACGAAGTGCGAGGCGCTCCTGTGCGCAACGCACCCCTCTCCTCCCAGGGATCGCTAAATGCTCCGACCTGGGGGCATCGCGACGCCTGGCGTCGGACGACCTTTGCTTCGACGCTTGGTTCAAATTCCGTATTGCCAGCATCTCCAAAGCCTTCTCTGCTTTGAAGACGCTGTCCTTCACCGCACCTTTCGAAACATTCGTTGTTTCGAAAGTCCTGTCCGGTGGTTCTTTCATCGAAACATTCGTTGTTTCGGAATTCCTGTGCACTGTAGCATGATCCTCTAGACGGGGTTGACAATGGCCTGGTTTCTCTTACAATTTCCATTTCCACAGGATAGCTGTACACCCTGTGTATTCTGGGACTTGGGGTTACCACATAAGTGGGTAACTCCTCCGTAGCGTGCCTCAAATACTCGCATTCAGGCAGAACTGTCGGTTTCGGAGGGAAAACTCCTTCCGGTTTTCGCCGTCGGCAAAAATCTCCGATTTCTGCTTTTTGTTCCGGTTGGGGACAAAATTGCGAATTTCGTAGTTTCGGAGCCGATCTCAGCATAGGAGATCGTACTCGCATAGATAACATCGCGCAAAGCCCTAATTGGGGTTCGCTTTGCGGCCTAGCTGGTGCATCTCCTCGGGGATGATGTCCAGCTTCCTGTAATAGCGTCTCCTGACGTTCTACTTCCGCATGTAACAAATCAATTCTTCTCATCGCCGAGGTTTTATTTTCCCTAATGCGATTTAATTCAAACATGCTATTTTGCGTTGTTTTGTCGCGATTTGAGGACAGCTTTGTCCTTTGAGACTTATCGAATTCTCGAATTATTCGGCTTGCCGAAAAACCACCAATGCCCACGGTTTGTCACTCTGCGACCAAGGGAGAGGCACTGATGTCCTCGTTTATTGAAAAAGAACGGTGAGTAGAACCTAGCCTCAGACTGGCTGATCCTACCAGAGTTCTAGGAATTCTGTTTCCTGTGAAACCTGATTCCAGGGGGGTTCCTTGTCGGCTCGTCGGAGTCGCACTCAGGCGACTAAAAATGTCTGACAGGAAATTGGTTTGACCGAAAATTGTGGTCTCGCGATTTGGCACTGATGTATTTTCGGCAAGTTGCGCTCGCGCGTGATTTGCCCTAGTCTGCATTTCGATTTCAAATTCCCTAATATGACTCTGACGAGGAAATAGTCAGAGGGAAGGATTCACGGAGATCTAATGATTTTAAGTTCACCCTTGGATCGCGAAAGCTACTTTCCTATCCAAGGCCTACAGGGTGAACTGAGCTAGTGATTTGGGAATAGGAAGCCTAACGGTTGAACAGCACTC